TCTCTCTCTCTCTCTCTCTCTCTCTCTCTCTCTCTCTCTCTCTCTCTCTCTCTCTCTCTCTCTCTCTCTCTCTCTCTCTCTCTCTCTCTCTCTCTCTCTCTCCCTCTCCCCCTCTCCCCCTCTCTTTTCCCTCTCCCTCCCCCCTCTCTCTCATAATATGCTGTTACGTGTCACCGATGTGTGCACTTAAAAAAAAACATACCTTGGAATCCTATTTGCTCCCAGTGGCTGCCATATCTCGGGCAGTCGAGTTTATTGCCAGTTAGCTGTCTGTACACGGTCTGCAACATTCTGCAGTGAACTGGCTGCTCGTTGTCAAAAGGACCTGGGGAAGACATACATCAGTTGTTAGCTGTACCACTGCTGACCACACCATGTGCAAAGAATGCACGCCACCATGTCACATGCATTAGCGCGTATGACCCTCGGCAGCAAACCCGAAACGTGGCCAGCAAACCCACATAATTTTTTTAAATTAAATTTTTTTTTTAATTTAAATTTTTATTGCATGTAATTCAAATACAAATACATGTACTGCACCTAGCTACAAACTACCCCCATCCTTAGCAAACGGCACCCATTCATTCGTAACTGCAATTTAGCAAGCACGTACACACGTACGAATGAACGCACGCACATCCAAATGCACGCGTGCACGTACGCACGAACGCACGCACACACGCACGAATGCATGCACGCATGCACACATGAACGCACGCATGCACGCACGAACGCATGCATGTACGAACGCACGCACGCACGCACACACGCACACACGAACACACGCTGCTCTGGGGCAATATACCGTAGATATCGGAGATATAATTTACTCGGTAGAATTTGAAATTTATTGCCCAGGAGATATAGAAATTTCTACGGGATAACTGGCAAATGCAGCCAGCCTAAATTAATGCAAACTCATGTAATCTCCTAGCCCGGACGTTACCTGGATTTTTACTCATTATATAGACTGACTACACATTTCCTTGTGGCTGCCTAAACCATAAAGGACGGACACTACTAAAATCGTGAAATTTATGAACCCAGTCGCGATTTTTCGCCTTGGCCCAATGACGTTACTACACTGAATGACTGACGAATGAAACTGACATTAGAACCTTATAGGTTCGCATCTAATTTGCAAAGAGGTGAAACCGCGAGGAATAGACATTCTCCGAGTCAACCCCTTAATCACAGGCAAATTTTCCCGCCGTGGAAAGGAGACCACATCCCCCAAAAGCTCTAGCTGGTCGCTGCGACTTCAGCTGCGTTTATACATCATTCCAGGAGACTGAGAAGCGAATTAATAACAGGTGAACGTATAAGGAGTAGATACGTCATCACACTATTCCCCGCTGATCATCACTCGTCGATGCGCCGGCAACGACGTGCGGAGTCAGTCTAATCGACGCTGTACGTCGTTCGTCTGCTTGCGCGAATAATCGAAATTAGCGATGAGCCGCGTATGAGGGATCACGGCCGCACTTTCAATAATAAATGCATCATCGTCGCCGCTGCCGCCGCAGCAACCGCTGCTGCCGCCGCTACCGCTTCCGCGTCGCAGCCGCCG